CACATACATACATACACCCAGGAAGATGTATGAAAGGAGGAAAATATCATTAGATGTTTGAATTGCAGGTAATTTTTACCATCATCTTTATATTTTTATGTATTTTTTGAATAAGTAAATGAACAAGTATCTTTTTTCTTTTCCTCCCCAAAGCCCCAGTACGTGGTTTTATATCATAGTTGTAAGTCTTTCTAGTTCTTCTATATGAGCCACCACCACAGCATGGCTACTGACAGATGAGTGGTGTGGTTCTGAACCTGGGAACAGAACTCAAGTTGCCGAAGTGGAACATGCTGAAGTTCAACCATTAGGCCATCAGGGCTAGCTCTTGTACAAGTATCTTTTCTATTAAAAAAAAATAATAATAATGTTATATTCAAAATCAAGCCAAATAAATAAAATTGGTTACTTAAACTGTAAAACAAACGAAAGCACATTTTTTTTCCTTAAACAAAAGTCATGCTAAAATACTACCCAGCAATAAAGGGGAATGAACTGCTGATTCATGGAACAACATCCTAAGTCTCAAAAATGTCATGCTGTGTGAAATAAGCCAGACTGGTTTCCATTCATGTGACTTTATTAAAGAGGTGAAACAAATCTATATCGACAGTAAGCAGATCAAGGCTCACCTGGGGCCCCAGGTCTCGGATTAACTTCAAAAGGCGTGTGGGAGTGTTTTTGAAGTGAGGGAAATGTTCTCTGTTTTGATTGATGGGTGGCTACACAGGTGTGTATATTTTTAAAGTCATAGAAGCGTACCCTGGGATGGATCCTTTGATAATACTAAAGCAAAGCTGCCCACCTACACGCTGGGTCGCTGTGGCTTACGGAAACAGTGAGATGCAATTGGAATTCCTAAACTCAAGATGGGCGTTTGGACAAGGCAGGCCCTGGACACACATGAAACTGCCAAGATTTGTACTTCCTTCTCCCTGACTCCCAGTCTGTCCCCCCTCACCTCATTCCAACCACGACCTTCAGCAACACTGTATTTCACTCTCTCTAATGAAAAAGCCCTCAGAGCTTTCATTCAGAGAAATTTGAACACTACTATAACCAGCATATGTTTTATACTACCTGGAGGTATTTCTATCCTAATTACTCTCAACCTGAGGCTGGAGAAAGGAAACCAATAAAAGACTTCAGGGAGAAGCTTCTGTGTGGTAAGGTCTCTGGGAGACCCATCAGAGATGACCCACTCTTCTAAGGGCACAAGGTGCCTGACTTGAAGCCCACCACCCCATCTGTCATGGTTTCAGTCTCTCCATCTTTAGAGCCAGAAAGGGCCTTACACATCATCCGGTGTATTTATTCATTCGTTTGTACCACTAGTCACTGAATGCCCTCTGCATTTCCCTGTGCTAGGTACTAAGGACTCAGAAGGGAACTAAGCACGCAGGTCCCCATCCGTGTGGAGCTGACTGTCATGTAGGAGATTCCAAGATGACTAATAGGTGTCAGATGTCATCATCCGAGTTCTCCAGCCCCTCGAGGAGGCCAAGGTTATTGGAAGGCATGGGTGGCAGATCACTGGACTTCTCTCAACACGATGCTTCAGGCAGCCCTACCAGCAATGGGGGTTGGCACAAAGAAGGTTAATCTAGTCCACCCTACGTTTTATAACCGAAGAAACTGAAAACAGAAAAGAAAGTGAGTTTCTTAGTATTTTTGAGTCACTGTTTAAGTCACTCTAAGAAATTTGTTCAGAGGTGTGCTAGATAAAATAAATTGTTCCAGGAGAAGATCATATTTTCACACGGTTATCTGTGTAACGATATTACTTTCAAGATCCCACCTATGCCATTGTTTTGGACCCGAGATACAACAATTTTTAAAAGAAAGAATAAATGCTCATTTCACAACGATTCCATAGTGAGCTCAAGTTTGTAGCATCTGAAATGGTATTTCCTGGAAGAGAAGTGGGAGGCAGAATAAAGTAGAGGCAAATAAAACATAAAAAGGAAAACCCTCATAAAAGACCTATAAAACAACCTTATAAAAGCAGAATGATTTTAACCTAATTGGCTGGGTTTGGGCCTGTGAAACTACCAGAGGTACTATATTTTCTTTTTTATTTTAAATTAGGTTTAAAATTTACATTCAATACAGTGTGCTTTTTTTATATGTATAGTTCTATAAATTTTCGCAAATGAATACGGTCACATGGGCGCCATTGGAATGAAGGTACCAAATATTTCCACTACCCCAAAAATGTTCCCTCCCGTCCCTTTTGAAGTCTCAAGATACAACATTTTGGAGGTGAACCAAAATTCCAGTGGAGGCATCAAAGTTGAAAAGCCAGGTTTTTCATCTGGGAAGACACCAATTTGCAAAAATCAAAAGTGCACGAGGCAGCCAGCCTGTTTTGTCGTTTTTCCCCCCTCTGTAATCTCCCCATCCTTCCCAAGTGTCTCATTGGTCTAAATAATTTTAGCAGGGCACCATTGTTCTTTTCGCTTTGCAAATTTACTTTTGATTTAAATGAGAAATAGACTGAGTTACAATGGGAGCAAAAAAAAAAAAATCTTATTTAACTGAGTCTAATTCTAAAACAACACAACATTATTGATCAAGGAAGGAAAAAAAGAAGATTGGTGGGTACCTAAGTTGTCATCAGGATGCTAGGGTTTGCTTAATTCTTGGTGTGAGGAGGCAGGCAGGGTGACTGGACGCTGGGGGGAGGGGACGCGGCAGGCAGCACCAGCCAGACGCCCAATGCCCTTCCGAGAATTCGAGTCACCACCTGCCCCCCAGAAACTCTCCAGGAGCATCCCATTGTATCAAAGGGAATGCAGGAGGGTACAAAAGTGTCTCCACAAACACTGTCACCGGGAGTGACATTTCCACCACAGTCACGTGGGTGAGGACACAAATTCTCCAGGAATTTTCATTTCTTTAAAGATTGTTCATTTCAGAATGCCGCCAACAATTGCTAGTTGCCAGGGTACTTTGTAACACGAAATAAAATTATCTTTTACTTTTGTGAAAAGACTAATTTGATCTTTCATTTGGAGATGTGTGAAGGTTTGAGATGTGTTGAGATAACTAAAGGTTCCCTCCACTTTTCACGTTCTGTTGTCTCCAGAAGCTACTGGGCCCAGACGCTGGGGGTGGGGGTAGGGGGAACCTTTGCCCTGCCGAGACCACCTGTGTCTTTTACTTAAATTAGCAAGATGCCTAGAAGTGCATCATCCTGAGTAATCAGTGAAAATCAAGATGAAGGAAAATAGTTAATATTAGCAGGTTCTTATGGGAACCTTTGCAAAATGCTTTTGTGTCAGAACGATTTGATCAAAAGTGTCAGAACATCCAACTGAAAATGGTTTAAACACCTGGGGTTTTTTAGCTCCCACGATGAGAGTTCCATGGGTGGCCACGTCCAGCATCTGTGATGTCTTCCTGGACACGGGCTCTTTCATCTTTCTGCTCTGCCTTGGTCAGCATAAGGGGAACCCCTCAGGATTAAGGGGGACCAAGCCAGTTCCACACACCCAAGGAGCCGGGGGCAGAAAAGCAGTCTCCCCAGCCCCATCCCCAGCTTCTCCTTCTGTGATTGAAGAAACTTTGGAACCGCAGCATCTGTATGGGGAGTGGTCTCTGCTATAAGAAGGGAGGGGAGGGCAATGGCTCTTGGCAGATACAGAAGAACATCTGCCACAACTTTACAGCAGTTTCCTCACTGCCCTTCCACCGGAGCCCTGTGAGATGCCGTGTCACCCTCCGTCGCAGGTTTGGAAACTGATGCTCCGAGGGCTTTTGTCACATGCTCCAGACCAGGTTGGAGTTGAGACTTGAACTCAGGTCTGTCTGGCTCTGCATTCCAGACTTGTATCCACTACAACTGAAGTCCTGGTTTCTAGACCAAAGTAGGAGACAATATCATAAATTAAAATTGTCATAGGCTTGTACCCAAGGTAAGAACAAACAGGGAGCTTTCGTGCCTGGAATGCTTGAAATGCCTCTGCCAACAATCAACCTTTGAGTTAAGGAACCGTCTCTGAGATACCACTGTAAAAAACGCAAATATATGATCTATTTGCATACATGAACATTTTAACTGCGAATCAAATATGTACCTGATATTCTGGTAAACAACGCAGGATAGGTAAGTTCTGACAAGTGCAGAGGGAGAAAGTTTGAGGTAAACTAGGAGTTCGTGGGGGGACGGTGGCTGTGATAGAACAGGGAGGGAGTGCGGACACCAAGAGACCTGAGGAAGCTCCCAGGAGGGGTGACCCAGAGGGGAGGGAGGGTCGGGCTGATCTGCCCACCCACTGCTCCACCTCTTCTTCCGCCTCCCACGCCTTCCCCACCCACTTGTGTGTTAAACTTACTCACAGGATACGTGGCTCCCGGAAAGTGGACGTGCTCCAAGTACCCTGCTGACAACCCCCCATCCAGAGGAGAGTGAAATTGCTCTCTACGATTTGGACAGGTCATGAAAAGCTATCTCTAGAAATTTTTGAAACCTTATATTTCATTTCAAAAATGAGTGCGATTTTGCATTTCTACCGCAAAATATATCTCAGCCACATACCGTTGGACCTAATGTGACCAGCTGGCCCCAGGTGTGTCCAGACACACAACTTTGGACATATTAGGAGAAATGATCAGACTTCAGAAGGCCAAACCCAGCCCCTCCTGCTCTTGTGGCCGTGTCTCTTCCAGGTTTCTTGCCCTCTGTTTTTCTGGAACCCTGAGGGATTTTACACATGTTCCCTAATGCTCCATTCTCACAAGCCCGGGGTCCTCTCACCCCCTCTCACCCCTAAGTTTGTCCCTAAGTTCACTGAGTCAACAGCCTCGCATGGGGGCAGGGTCCAGACAGCACCTCTTTCTCTTCCTGCATTTCTTCAGGAGCCAGAAAGGGATGGGGGTGTCTCTCCTAAATTGTATCAATGTCTGGCAGCTCCGTAAGCCCTGTGTTCTGTCATCTCAGGTCACTCTGCTGGCCTTGGGCCCCTCTCTGTCCTGCTGACCATTCTGGTCTGGGCCCTGGGGAAAGGGCTTTCCTTTGTTGTGTCACAGAAGAGCTCCCAGCAGAGCGCAGCTTTCGCGTCTCTCCTGCATATCTCGGCCCTCTGCTTCCAGCAGGCAGGCTCTCCCGGACTCAGGTGGGATGGGGGACAGGCGGTGGGTGAGGGGCAAGCACAGCCCCACATGCCCTGGAGTCACTGTTTCCCCCTGACTTAAACACCCTCCTACAGAGTTTGACCGGCCCTGCCAGATCTGCTCACTCAGTGCTTTTTTTTTTTCATTCTCAGGGACTCCATGGTCCTCCACAGCCTGGCTGTCGTCAGGGTCTCCGCTCTTTAGGTATGTTCGTAATGAACTCTGATTGTGAACAAGATTCAAATTCTTTCCCATGGGGCTCCTGGGTCCCATTCAAATCCCAACTCCTGTTAACCCTCCCCAAACACACAGTGGCCGTTCAGAAAGTGTCACTCTGAACATAAAGACAAAGCTAGTCTTCAGGAGTGGAAGTGAGGGGCAGCTGATAAGTCTCAGCTCTGACCCAGCCAAGACACCTTAGTGGGTGAAAGGTATGTTTAATATTTAAATTGCTTATTAATAAGGAAAGGTGCTGGTTCAAAAGATGTCCTATGTTTCTCCCTTAAATCACCCCTGGGGACGCATCCATGTGTTCCTCACCTGGCCAAAACCTTCTTCCTCCAAGATTCAGCTGGGCACCGTCTTATCCAGCAGGCCGGCCCTAGCCATCCTTCCCCCCATGTCAGCCTCTCAGACACCCCTCCCCTCTGGACTCGCCATCGTCATTGTTGTAATCATTTGTCCCTTGTCTCCAGTCCCCCTCTGTGCCGTGTTGATGGAGCTTGTGTCTCTCATCTTTGTTTTTCAAATACAATGGCTACAGGAAGTGCTCAACAGAATTTTTTTTTTACATAATTGAGTGGATGGATGGAGGCATGAGCCTCTACATGCAAAAACAGATAAATGGATAATAACAAAGAATAAATTTCACTTTTAAATTGTTGTTAAGGGTCATATTTGATGTCTCACATGAACTTGTTTGGGGCTGAACTCCTAATGAAGATAGCTGGTAAAGACCTACTTTCCACGAATTTTCAATTCATGTTGTTTTCTCTTGTGGATTGAGAAGATGAATCTATGGGGCAAAGGACTGGGGATATTTTTTTGCAATCAGTAAAAGAATAGCTTTTTTTTCATTGAAACGTTTATAATAAATGTTATAGACTGAATTGTGGCCTCCCCGCCCTGCAAATTCATATGTTAAAGTCCTAACACTTAATACCTCAGAATGTCACTGTATTTGGAGAGAGCGCCTTTATTTATTTATTTATTTATTTTGAGGAAGATTAGCCCTGAGCTAACTACTGCCAGTCCTCCCCTTTTTGCTGAGGAAGCCTGGCCCTGGGCTCAGATCCGTGCCCATCTTCCTCTACCTTATACGTGGGACACCCATCACAGCATGGTGTGCCAAGTGGTGCCATGTCCGCAGCCAGGATCCAAACCACTGGGCCAACCCCGGAGACAGGGCCTTTAAAGAGATAACTAAGGTAAATGAATCCATTTGAGTGGGCCCGAATCCAGTGTGAATGGTGTCCTTAGAAGAGATCAGGACCCAGACACACAAGCACAGAGGAAAGACCATGTAAGGACACAGCCAGAAGGTGGCCATCTGCGAGAAAATGAATAAGGCTTCAGAAGAAAACTGACCTGCCGACACCTTGATCTTGGACTTCCAGCCTCCAGAACTGGGAGAAAATAAATTTCTGTTGTTTAAGCCCCTAGTCTGTGGCATTTTGTTATGGTGGCCCTAGAAAACTAATAAGACAAACAGTAACAAGTCCTGGCATTTCTATCCTTTCCGTATACATAGGCCTTCTACTCGTCTGGGGTTCACAGGGGCCCGCTGAAAGCTCGGCTTTCTTGTTAGTCACCACCCTGAGGAGCAGACTGCCCTGGGAACCCACTCCTCCTCCCCGTCCTTCATCACTGTGCCTGTGTTCAGAGGGACGCCAAGAAGGAGTGGATGGAGCTTAACCTGGGATAGTGAGGGACCACTTCATGTATATGAGAGCCAACAACTTAAAGACCAGGGTGAGAAAATATTAAATTGGCTACCAAGACAAGAAGTAGAATCTCTGATTTTTAGATATTAGTAGTAAGAGCTGTCACTTTATATAGGGTTCTCCTACCACGTGCCAGGCAGTGTTCTAAGCATTTCACCTAAATGATTTAGTCTTTGAACAACCCTCTAAGTGGGTGCTATTGTTATCATCCCCATTTTACAGATGAGGGAAGAAGGGGACATAAGGAACCTGTTCACGTTCCGAGTGTCTGTCTGCTCGTTAGGGGAGGCCATGGAGTAAAAGATGGGCACACTGGTGTGGCCAAGGGGTCTCTTTTCTAAAGCAAGGCTCTTTATATTGAAGAATGGAAAACCTCAGGAGAACAAGACCACTGTTTTCCTATACTTACTATATCTGATTGATTCTCAGTCTCTTTCTAATTCTGGAAGTGAGTGTGTGTGTGTGTGTGTGTGTGTGTGTGTTAGAAGTAGTGGTTCACAGGGCAGGGTTACCTGTTTTTGAGAGAAGAATTGTGCTCATTTGTTGAACCATAAACATGTGTCCTTGGTTGGTTTGGAAAACAGGACATTGGACCCCCAAACGACTCAAACTAATTTTTATTTTACTATTTATGAAGTTAAATTGTTGCTTTATGGGCTGGCTGCCTTTGTATTTGTTTTTATTTTTTCTGCAGAGCATTATTTATTGCCACTCTTAAAGAAGGGTCAAAGGGAACACTGAACAAAAGTCTGCTTTAGAAAAATGGGAACTGTGTCTCTTTGGCAACATCCTCTTTTCCTTTTCGATTTCCCCGCTGCTCACTTTATCCTTCCCAGTCTTTCGGTTTCGTTGGCCTCTGAACAGTCTCAGAACAAATATCTCCAACAAAATTGTTCGACTAGATTTGCCATTCCCTGCTACAGGTCGATTTTTGTGTGTTCGGTCTGTTGCTATTTGTAGTTCACCAAAACAACGACCAGGAGGTGCCTCAAAGTTACCTGTGTGTGCAGAGACTGAAACGACTGTTTTTAAGTGATATTTGGGAACACTTTATTTTCTGGGTTGTAGGGAAAGACAGCCATTAACTGAAGGAAAGCAGACTCAGGAGGCATAAGGATGAAGAACCCTAACCTCAGAGGCTTGTGGGGGCTCCCACGGGTGCCAAGATCCAAAAGTCAACCTCAGATGAGGAGGATTGCTTAATTAAAGATTTGCTTTCAGGACATTGCTTACAAGTAGCAGTAGCACTCAGGGCAGCGCAAGATACTCCATTGCAGTCTGGAATGTCTTCTCTCTTCTAGAGTCAAGAGCATTGCTGGCTGGAGACAAGAGATGGCGCTGTGAGCCCAACGGAAAGAGAAGGCGGTGAGAGACCGTGCGCCACCTCCCAGCTGATTAAAGGCCACCAAAATGCACTTCCTGGGATTTTTCTGATTTGTTTTCTCATGGCCTTTGGGGCTTCCTCAAACTCAAAATAATTGCCCACGCCAGAGTATCTAGGAATCTTTTTCTCCTCATCCTTGGGAAGGGCTCGGCTCCCAGATGTACACAGTATAAACCCGCAAGGGAAGGTTGAGGCAGCCCTGGAAGTTCCTTGTTATGCTGAGAGGGAATCTTTCGAGGGTGGGGAGGTAACTTATAGGTGGTCTTTGGAAAGCTGTGACTGTCATGAGAGATAGCCTGGCATAAATGACAAAGTTGGCTGTGGGTGAATGAGAGAAAAACAGAAGAACCAAAGCAAAAAGCAAACAAAAATAATTGGCATCATAAATCATGGCTGAGCTCTCGGGATGAAATTCATCTTCTGCTTTCGTGCGACGAACACATTTTTGTCTCACTTTGTCCAGCTGTTCGTAGAAAGTCAAATCACTTGGATCATGGGCTCATTCCGTGTAAAATTCTTCTCCTGACAAAATCAGCCTTGATCTTTTCATTGGTTTCTCTTTGTCACATTCTCTTTCTTACATGCAACATCCTGTGTTAGGACCAGGTACATTCCCTTGCAAAAGAGACAGAGAGAATTTTTTTGAGGTAGGTTACAGAAAACACAATAATTAACGAGGAACAGAGCTAACTTCATACCTGACATGAAGCCAACTCTTAATTAGCTACATGTGTATCTCATACTTGGTGAATTATGCGTGGAAAGTGTTTACTCACAAGAGACTTTCCCTCAAGCGTATTTTAACTATCATCCTCATTCCCACCTTCATCTTCTTACCAGACCAATTAGTGTGCTTATCAAAATAAACACAATTAGAAAGATGACATAGAGAAAAACACATTCTTCTAATGCGCTGATATAACTTAGAGCTTGAAGGCTTAGCATGCCCTTGCCTGAAGATGACAGAATGCTAGTTAAAAATAGAGATGGCCGGACTCAGCGTCAGATCTACTGAATCCAAATTTCCAGGGGCAGGGCTTGGTAATCCATATTTTTATTAGGTCCCCCCCCCTCAGGTGATTCTTATCATGAAGAAGCTTAGGAAACAGTATCCAAGAAATTCTCTAGTCCAAGAGTCAGTAAACTACCAGTAAAGGGTCAGACAGCAAATATTTGAGGCTCTGCAGGCCATACAATCTCTGTCACGACTACATTGTCATAGTGAGAAAGACCTCATTGACAATATGTAAATGAATGGGCATGACTGTGTTCCAATAAAACTTTATTTGCAAAAACAGGCCGAGGGCCAAAGTTTGCTGACCACTGGACTGGTCCAGTTTCATTTTATAGGTGAAGATGTTCAGGACCAGAGGGGTGAGATGACTTGCCCAAGCTGCAATTAGTCAGTGACCCAGCCAGGCCCGGGCCCCTGGGCCCCTAGAACAATGTTCCTTTTACGGCCAGATCCCTCGCTTCCATGTTGAACATAGATCCACTGTGGTTGATTCACTGCTTTGGAGTAAATTTTCTCTCTGTCACTTGTGGTCAGAGACTATCATGATGAGGAAACGTTTATATTCCTTACTGAAGATCTTGGCATCTCATTTCCGTGGTAGGTGGGTAAAAGAAAGAAACAAAAGAATAAAGTGCTGGTTAAGTTGAACAAAGCCTAGAAATTTTCTGGGTCAACTAAAATTTTCACAGGTCAAATTGCGTTCAGAATGTTCTTTTAAACTTATTTGTGACCTAATCTTGAATCACCTTGAGAGGATATCTGCTTCTCTAGACACATCCTTCTGGAATGCTCAACCCCTTTTAGCGATCTTCCCAGAAACAAATTCCTTCATTATGGAAAAACCAATTTACTCTTTTCCTGTTCCTGCAGCAGTGGGGAGCATCTGCTTGCCATTTTGTTTATGCATCTGAAGAACCATCATTATTGCCACATGGTTCCTCTTCTCCTGGTAGAGTGGCCAATTTGCTTAGAACTTCCTCAGAAAACTTGTCCTCCTGGCCTTTAATCCTGGAGTCATTTTTATGAGTGTAGAGCTTTCTCCAAGTTGTCCACACCCTCTTCCACTGCATGGCTTTCAACTGGGCTCACTCGGCTGATGACTTTCAAGTTCCAAAGGAAGAACTTTCGGAAGAGTAAGTGGTATTTTCCTCTATTGGGCTGCCCGGGCCTCCAGTTACTTAACGGGTGATCCTTCCTGGTATGAGCCACGTTCTGAGTTTATCTTGGGGGAAACCAGAGAGCCACGATCCAGGTTACCTCTTTGAGGAGAGTTCTTACACTCATGCAACCCTCAAAAACTCATGTGCTCCTTCTCTCAGTGGGGCAGGGGGTATGTGGGGGTGTTTTTTGGCTTTGGGGGTTTTTGTTTTTGTTTTTTTTGATACCCAGAAAAAATTTTCCCAGATTGTGGAAACAGTCAGGCATTTTTGGAACTCCCGTAGAATTATTTGTTGTGCTGGAATTTAGGAAAATTTGAGCAATGGAAAACAATGTAGCAATCACTGCTTTCAAAAACACAGAGCGTGTGGCATACAAATGACCCTGGTCTCCTGTCCCTTTTGATTTTCTTACATTCAGGGTCCTTTCAGCATCTTGTCACAGTTAGTGCTGTTTTATTTCACCCAACTTTTAGCTGGAAAAATTTTAAATCAATGTAAAGTTGAATACACATATACTCTTCATCTAGATTCACTAGTTGTTAACATTTTGCCACATTTGCTTTATTGCTCTCTCTCTTCAAACACACCCACACCACTTTCCTTTTTTGGCTGAAACACTTGAAAATAATTTGCTGACATCATAACACTTTGTCCCTAAGTACTTCAGCCTACACCTCCTGAGAATAAGGCAGTCTCCTAAGAATTATGTGACTATCATCCTACGAAAATTAATATTAATCCCATAATATCATCTAATATACATCCATATTCAGATTTCTCTGACTGTCTCCAAAATGTCTTTTCACAGCTATTCTATTTTCTCATCCAAGATCCAATCTAGGTTCACGTTGCATTGGTGTCTTTCACGTCTGTTGTCTCTTTCTAATCAAGAACAGTCCTCTCGCTTTCTATTTTCTTTCATGACATTGACTTTTTTGAAGAATCCAGGCCAATTGGTGTTGTAGAGTATTCCATATTCTGAAATCGATTGTGTTCTTATGATTAGATTCAAGTCGAATATTTTGCCAAGAATGTCACGTTGGAGATATTGTATAGTTCTTTCTGAAACAGCGCATAAAATGTTGACCAGCTTAAACTAGTTTTCCTTCATTAAGGCAGACTGTTGATTAATCAAACCTTGAGCAATAACAGAGACAGCATTGTGCTTGTGCCAGGTGGGAACCCACAGTCCCAGGATGACCCTGGCCTTCAGTAAGGAAAATCTGGCTTCCAGCAGCCCAAGTAGTTTGATTACCATATATGGACTGATTCGAGACTAGCCAATCAGCTTACAAGGGCCCAGCTGCAGCTTAGTAGCCCCTAACTCCTTGAATTTTGCCCCAAACCTTGGCTCAGAGGGGAGGATAGATTTGAGAGCATTGCCTTCTGTCTCCTTGCCAGTTGACCTTGCAATAAAGCTCTTTCTTTTCTCAAAAACCAGTGCCACAGTATTGGATTTTATGCACACCAGGTAGTAAGCTTGCTCAGTAAGATTTCCCCATCACCTCAGGAGGTCCACAATGTTCATTCTAAGTTTGATCACTTTCCCAAGGTGATGTCCACTAAATCTCTCCAAGGTAAAGAAACATATCTTTTCCTTATAGTAAGCAATATATGAGTGGTAGTTTGAGTCTGTGTGAATAACATGTTCTCCAATAGTCTTACACCTGCTGGCCTTATTGTCCATTGTTGACCTTTGCCTGAATCAATAGAAGGGGCTGCAAAATGGAGATTTTCTAACTTTATTATTTCTTCCAATTATTAGCCGATATTGTTCTCTGAAGAATACTTTTTGCTCTTTCTCCTTTCTCTCTCTCTCAATCTGTCTCTCTCTCTCCAGTCAGTGCTCTTGACTAAAGGAATTCACAAAGCTGCGTAGGGTTGCGCCCTAGCCTCCTTTATGACAAATGACATGGAGTGGGTGGTGGTGAAGGTGTTTCAATTCTATTGTGTTTTTCATATTAAAATCACAGATATTTGGATACTATATCAAACTGAATTCAGTTTTTTCCTCCTGTTGGACCAGGGCTTCCTTGATGACACTTAAAGCAGGTCACAAATACACAAAGCAGTGTTTGAGCGAGAGGAAGGGCAATGACCATGAACTTCATTTGCCCTTGTAGGCCAACCACCAATTATGCCATCTTCCCCTAGACTTTTCATGTCTCCCTTTCCTCGTGACTACTTCGCAGCTCCCGCTCTCTCTTCAAACCTTCAGTACCACCTCAGCTATTTCACTCTTAGCTACCAACCTTGCTTCCTACTTCTTGAATCAGAAGGAAGCAGTTAGAAGAGATTTCCATGTTTGCCCAGCGCTTCAGTTACCAGCCCCTAGCATCAGCACCCACATGCTCTGTTTTCCCTCCCGTTAGCACGGGTGAGCTATCCCTGCTCCTCCCAAAAACACATCCCACCGCCAGCCCCATCCCTTCTCAGCCACTCAAGTACATTGCTCCAGGAATGCGCTCCTCTCTCCCGCATCATCAAATGTATTATTTTAATTCTCTGCTCACATCATCATCAGAAAACAACTGTGTTTTTATTGCTCCCAACTCAACAAAACTCCCCTCCTGACAATATTTTCCTGGCCACTAATCACCCCATTACTTTGCTCCCCTTTGAGGCAAAACTCCTCAAAGCAGTGATCCATATGTGTCTCCAAATTTTCTCTTCTTGTTTTCTCTTAAATTCATTTTAATGTGGCTTTTCCTTCTTCGTGTCTCCAATGAAACTGCTCTTGTAAGATCACCAGTGACCTCCCCATTGCTAATCTAATCATTTCAAGCCTCTCACTTGATCTGTCAGCAGCGTTTGACACAGTTGATCGCTCCCTCTTCTCCAATTCGCCTTCTTCACGTGGCTTTCAGAACACTTCACCCTCTCTCCACTAATCTCGGATACGTAAACTTGACACATCCAAACCTGAGCTCCTCATCGTCTCCCCAGTCTGCTCCACTTGTTCTTTCCCTTCTCAGGTGGTGCAATTTTATTCTTCAGAACAAAGGCTTTGCAGTCATCCACGACTCTCTTTTTCCCTCTCACTCCACATCTGATCCAAAGGTAAATCATGTTGGCTCTGCCTTTAGAATGTATCCAGAATCTAACCACTTCTCAGGACTTCCATTTCTTCTACCTAGTACAAGTCGTCTTATTTCTTTCTACTTGGCCTCCTACTTGATTTCCCTGATCCCCACCAAGTCCTTCTATCACTTCTCAGAATTTACAACACCCTGAATCCAAATGCCCACCACCTTCCCTATTCCTGCTGCTCCCACTCCCACTCCCACCTTCATTTCTCTCTGACCTCCGTTCATCGCCTTGACCTCCTTGGTGTTTCTTGAACATGTGTCGTTCTCCTACCTTCGGGTCTTTGTACTGTCTCTTTCATCTGCCTAGAATAGTCATCTCCTTTAAGCTAACTTCCTCTCTTCCGTCTCATCTTTCCCAGTTATCACCTTTTCAATGAGACCTGTTCTGACCATTCTATTTTATTTTAATTTTTTTTATTGGCACCTGACCTAACATCTGTTGCCAATCGTCTTCCTTTTTTTCTTCTTCTTCCCAAAGCCCCCTGTACACAGTTGTATATTCTAGTTGTAGGTCCTTCTGCTTGTGTTATGTGGGACACCTCCTCAGCGTGGCTTGATGAGCAGTGCCATGTCTGTGCCCAGGATCCGAACCGGTGAAACCCTGGGCCACCAAAGCAGAGCGTACAAACTTAACCACTCTGCCAGGGGGCCAGCCCCCTGACCATTCTATTTTAAATTGCCATCTTTTCATCCCACCTGCACTTCTGATCAACTCTACACAGTTCTGCATTATAAAATACAGTCATGCATCACTTAACAACGGAAACACATTCTGAGAAATGCATCATTAGGCAATTTCATTGTTGTGTGAGCATCATAGAGTGAGCTTACACAAACCTGGATGGTACAGCCTACTACACACTTAGGCTGTATGGTGCTGATCTAGTGGGACCACTGTTCTGCATGCAGTCTGTCATTGA